GGTCCCGTGGGCCTCTTGGAGCGTCTTGAGTGCCTCGGGGAGCCTCTCGGTCGCCTCTTAGGGGCCTCTTGGTGGCCTCTTGGGGCCTCCTGGGCTCTTCTTGGGGCCCTCTTGGGGCTCTCTTGAGGCTCGCTTGGGAGCCCTGGAGGGTCTCTTGGGGCTGTCGTTGGAGGTGTCGATGAACAGAGGGGGGGTCCTACCGTTTAGTCCCCCCTCTGTGGCCATCAAAATAGCCTCTTGGGACGCTCTTGGACCTCTCTTGGGGCGATCTTGGGCCGTCTTTTGGGCCGTCTTGGGGGCATCCTGGGCCCCTCTTGGAACTCTCTATTCAGCCATCTTGGGGCCACCTTGACGCCTCCTCAAAAACGCATCGGAAGCGACACGGGGAGAAGGCAACCAGCATTGATTTCCCTTCGGTTTTTGAAGGATGTTGGCTTACCCGGGAGGTCCTGAGGGGTGTCCAAAAGCACCTAGAACCGTCTTGTCGCCCTCTTGGGGCCTCTTGGATGCATGTTGATAGCTATCTTGAGCCATGTAGGGCTATCTTCAGCGATCTTGGAGGCCATCTTGGGCTCTCTGAGGCCCTCTTGGAGCCATCTCAGGACATCTTGGACGCCCTGACACCTCGCGAACTCCCCCGTCCAGGTCCAGGGGAGGGGGTAGGGGGAGGGGTCAAGACCCCCTGCCCGCCCGCAAGCCGTCTCGCTCACTCCCACCCGCCCTCCCAACACATACGTAGCACCCGAGTCTGGCCCGAGCCTCAGCATATTCAGCAGTCGTCTTTGGATGGGCAGCTACTGGGGGCCAATCCGCCGCCTCCGCCGCCGCCTCCGCCGCCGCCGCCGCCGCCGCTGCCGCCGCTGCCGCCGCCGCCGCCGCGCCGCCGCCGCCGCCGCCGCCGCCGCCGCCGCCGCTGCCGCCGCCGCCGCCCGCTGCCGCCGCTACCGCCGCCGCCGCCGCCGCCGCCGCCGCCGCCGCCGCCGCAGCCGCCCGCCGCCGCCGCCCGCCGCCGCCGCCGCCGCAGCCGCCGTCGTCGCCGCCAAGTGTACTCTGTATTGTTCTTTGACAGGGATTGCGGGGGGGGGCCGCATCGGGTTGGCTGCGCATGTTCCGAATTTGGAGGCTGAGTGTGTTTTGTATTGTTTTTTTACAAGGGATGGTGGGGGTGTCGTCATGGACTCGGGTTGGCCCCCAGTCGCCTGGGGGAGGGGGTGTTTATTAATAGGGAACAGTGATGCACCCCTTCCAGACGGGGAAGAATTGGTTTTTGGAAGAGGAACGGAAGATATCGTTAGACCACCTGCGCCCAGAGGGCCGGTGGGATTACGAACCCACTTCGCAGAGCGCACGCCCCCCCTCGGCGAGTAAAACAAGTTGACATCGGGTGCGTTTCGGGCCGCTCACAGGGGAGTCGGGCGAGGGGAGAGCGCGATCGGCCTCCACCGCCGTGCAGGTGCAGCTGCTATGGGTGAACCTGGTGACCGACGGTGCGATGGGTGTGTGTGTGTGTGTGGGGCACGCAGTCGATTCTTCTCCCCCAGCCCCCGACTCTTCGACGAAAAATGAAGCCGTTCGGAAAAGGAGGGAAACCCTGGGATACACCCCAAATGGGAAAGTCGGACGGACCCCTATCGAGGATAGATGCCCCCCCCATCGTATATCCCAGGGTTGGACCACCCCAATTTTTTGTGGTCCATTTGAAAACCCCACGAAGCCCAGGGTAGGGGTCGGCATATCCCCTGTTATGGGGCACGGGGGCAGGGCTGAGGGGCGAGGTTCAAGGTTCTCCTGCGAGGACTGCCCAAGGTGCCCCCAGCCTTTCGCTCCATCTCGGAGCCCCTGGGGCCCTCTCGGCCTCGTGAGGTGCACTCTGGAGGCCGTGGGGTCTCCTTGGAGGAACTCCTCGGGGCACCTAGGGCCAGGGGCACTTCTAGCAACACCCGGGTCAGGGGTTTTCGGGCGTCTCCTTAGGCACTCGGCGATCTGTCGGCGATGTTCAGTCATCCCGCATAGTAAGGAAGAACAACTCTCCAAGGTCACCCTTGCATCGTTCCCCTTCCCTTCGGCCCATCCTTGGTCGCTTTCGCTGGCCGCGGCCCGCTCGCAAAGTGTCGACATGGCCTTCGCAGGCCCTTGCGTCCTTATCGTGCGTCCTTGTTTTACGGGTTTACTATATCTCCGATTGCTGCTTGATGCCTCTCCCCCAGAGCTGGCCCTCTCCTCACGTTTCCCCTCACGGGATGAGGAGGGCATACGTGCAGATCGCATCGGAGGTGCAGGCATGGCGTCGATGCTTGAAGCTGCCCTCAGCCATCGGCGGCAGAGCGCGCACGCTGTCTGCTTCTCTCGGCCAAAGCTTCTTCATGATTATGGCCCCTCCTCCTGCCTCGCGCCTGCCTGTCTCTTCGCCTCTCTGCTCCTCTGTCCAGCCCCCTTCGACATCGGGAGGGGGGTCCTCAGCGTATTGTTGTGCCTCCAGGTACGTCTCTCCATTGCGATCAGGGTGATGCCACAGCTTTGATATGAACAAGTCCCACGTGCCATCCTACGCTTGTGCTGTTTGTGCAGCAGTGCTCTAAGCACGTGAAGTGGACCTTCCGCGACTCCAGTCTGGGGAAAACATCCTTTTGCTTGCGGCAAGTCCCGCCACCGTGCCAGCGCAGCGTTGCGTGGCGACGCTTCAAGCACCGCCCAGATGGCCGTAACAAGAGGCACCTCCCACCCCTACGGTCGGACCGATGTGTAAGATCGAGGTCTTGTGCAACCTGGGGAGGGTACCCTTGGATGTTCTGTGCATTATGGCCGGCGGAGGGTCTCGTTCTCTTGAGGGATGTGCTTCTGGCCCAGGTCCGAGCGTATTCCCTGAGGGCTCTCTGGAGCCGTCTCGGTGCTGCCTCGGGCTCCCGTTGGCCCTCGTGCGGCCTCCTGGCCACCTCCCGCAGCCCTTCTCGTGGGGCGCCGAATTGCTGTACACGTCCGCTGCCCCCCGGGCCCTCCCTCGGCCCAGGAGCTGCGTATACGCCCTCCTGGCCAAGCCAGAGGAGGGCGTGGCGTACACACCGCTGTGGGGCTCTAGGCCTCCAGATGGGGTCCGAGTGGATGGTGTCGGTGGGTCGCGCCATCGACGATGTTGCTGCACGTGGAGCCAGGGGTTCTCCATGCCGATGGCGCCGATGCGTCGCCGATGCATCGCCGATGCATCGGGGATGCATTGCAGATACATCGGCTTTGCGGCGCGATCCTCCGACCCCATTTATCCGACCCCATCTAGGAGGCCTCTATGGGTTCAGGATGGGACTGGCATGGATTTCTTCGCCCTAGCTTGGGCCGTCTTGGGGCTCTCTTGGGCCGTCTTCGTGCCTTTTTGGGCCCCTCTCTCCCCCTCCGGGAGTCTCTTGGCTCTTCTGGGGCCCTCTCGCGCTGTGCTGTGCTCCTCCGCGGGGCCGTCCCGGGGTTCTCCCCGGCCGTGTCTGGGCGCTTTGGTTTCTCTCTGGCTCCTCGGAGGACCTCTTGGAACCATCTTGAGCCTAGAGGCCTGTGACCCCTACGCCAAATCACCGCCGCCTGCATTTTAGGCAGTCTTGGAGACATCTTGCGGCCATCTTCGGATCTCGTGGGGCCGTCTTCAACGTCGTGGAGGCATCTTGGAGGCCATCTTCTGCCATCTTGGCCGTCTTGGAGCGGGAAGACCGACGAGCGGGGAAGTTTACGGGCCCTTATGCAGCGGGGTTGGAGACGGTGCTGTTTTATCAGTCATTTCCTTTGTCTGGTCCCTCCTGCGGAAGGTTCATGCGGCGTTGGCATGCTGGCGACGCTGGTCCAGGCGTTCTTTTTGAAGTCTGCGACGCGGAACCACCGAGGGACACGGTAACGCTACTAGACCCGACGGAATTCAACCTTGAACGATCGGGGCCACGATCGATTCAAGGTTTAGCGATCGACGCGGTATGAAAAACCCTTCGCGCGCCGACGGCGGGCGAACCCGCCGTACCATGCCTCCCTCATCTCTCTGCATGCCATGCCTCGGGCAGTCTCCAGACACAGGGAGGCCAGGTCTCCCCGCCACCGCGCTGGGCTTCAACCCGCCAGACCTCAATGTCATGATAAGGCCGCCACGGCGAAAGGAGCGCGGGCCACCGCATCCAGCATCTTTCGCCTGGAGCATTTGCCACATTTTCGCTTCCTGCGTCCTCCACCGTTTCCCTCTTGAAGGGAGGGCTGGCGTGAGGGAGAAGAGGTGCTTGAGTGGCTTTGCTGGAATCTGGCTCCTCTTGCTGCCCGCAGCCCTGTCGGTGCGTGCCGCTGTCTCCAGTCGCAGCTCGATCGGGCCTCCATCGGGCCGCATACTCGTAAAGGACTTACACAGATCTCGGATCGTCTCCATTTTCGGGCCCACCTGCCCACGTGAGCGTGGCCTAGCTACTGGCTGCGCTGCTGCGCTGCACCAAAGCCTCCAGGCTCTGGCGAGGCTCTGCGTTCCTTACCCGCTAGAAGAGTCTTAGCTGAGTGGATGGAGATGGTGCCCCTTGCGTGCTGCTCTTGAGCATGCAGCACGCCCAGACTGTCTCTGCACTCGTTATTGGACCTCGATATTTGGGAGGCCTGACTAAATTTTTGGGCTTCTAGGGTGCTGTGAAACCACGCTGATGCGTGTTGCTAGGGCTCTCTGATAATTAGGCTGTTGCCGAAGCTTGCATGATTATCTGTGCAAGGCCGAATGGGTGGGTTGATATAGCCAACAAGGACGAGCAGGAGGACGAGAGGGAGCATGAAGCTGCGTGTTTGGCGTTCTGTGAGGCAATGGATCACCGAACACACAATAGTTGACGCTTCAAGGGCCCCTGTCAGACTTCCTAGAAACGCTGCGAAGACGAGTTGTCTTGATCAGTGAAGTGTAGGAGCATGCAATGACAACCATGATGCTGAGTTCCGAGATTAGCCTGAGAAGACCTGGGATCACCGTATAGGCCTTTTCGGATATGTGGAACGACGATGGGGTG